ATTTTGATGGTTTATGCTCATATCAAAGGTAAATAAATCATACCCTAAGTATGATTTAAGTTATGTTGTGTGGAGAATTTCTTTATGCATATATATGTGTTATATGTAGAATTGTTGATGGATTTGGTGTTGAATAATGATTAGAACCTATCCATGAGAAGTTGTGTTGGTGTATTTGATACTTGATGAATGTTTGGATGAGATTTGGAAGAATTGAAGTGAAATTTTTGAAATGTGTATTTTGGGCAGATTTGGCGTTAATTATGGAGGAGTTCATGCCAAATATTTGGTGGCCTAAAAGAGAGATAGAAGTGTAGCCAAATTAGTGTTAATTTGTGCACATGAATTGTTTGATGAAATGTCAAAGAGAAGTGCATGTATGAGTATGATTATGTGTTACTTTAAGATAAGTTTGTAGATGATAGAGAATGACATGGTTGCATTTCATAATGCATAATAGCATTTAAACATGTGAAATTAGAAAGAATTATAACAATGAAACCATCTACATTCATACATATTCATAAGAGCATGAAAAAGCACTAAAATATGTTAAAGAGAAAATAGAAAGAAATGAGAATATTAAAGATATTCAAATTTGAATTTTTACTTAAAGAAGTGTAAAAAGGTAAAAAGAAGAGAAGGTTGTTACGAGGGGAGCCCGTGAGTGACATAGTCCCACATGCACGCCGCCTTTAGTGAGCGGCCTTAAAATTCAGAAAGAAGAATTGTATAGTCCGTTAGAAGTGCGTGCAGATGAGGACTATACCCAAAATTAGAGAATTCACTCACACGGCCAAGGCTCCAAATCCATGCCTCAACCGAGTCTGATCGGCAAGAAAAGAAAGAAAGAGAGAAAGAATAGGAAAAAAAAAAAAAAAAGGAAAGAAAAGAAAAGAAAGAATACAAAGAAAGAATAAAAAAGAAAGAAAGAATACAAAGAAAGAAATAAAGAAAAAGAAATAGAAAACATAATAAGAAAAATAGAAAAGAAAATGCATAATCTATGCATTTGTGCATTTGCATCATGAATGTGCATAATACCATGCTCATTATCATAAGTAGTGAAAAATTAGAAAATTGAGAAAAAAACAAAGAAAGAATAGAGAAAGAACAGAGAAAGAACAAAGAGAAGAACATAGAAACAATAGAGAAAGAACAGAGAAAGAACAAAGAGAAGAACATAGAAAGAATAGAGAATAATCGGGAAATGAGATGTAAGGAAAGAAAATTCAAAATTTAAGCAACGGAAAGAGACGGGTAGCATAGAGGGTTTACTTACTGAGCAATTAGTGCTCACTCCATTGTTTTCAATGTTTTTGCAGGTAATAGGTGAGTTACGGTCGCTCGGAGCGTTACGTAGTGGAAGGGTTGGGTTACACTGTCAAGTTGCTATTTTTGAGTATATTTTGTAAATATTTGTATATAAAGAAAAATTAAATATGGGCCTATACCTTATTACTCGTTTATGTGTGTGTGTGTGTGTGTATATATATAATGAGTTTTAATGATTATTTTACAAGTATACTAGCTAGAAAGAAAGTATTACAAGGAGTATATACCTACATAAATAGTTTGATAATTAGTACAAGCAATGATGGTTTAGAAAAATTTAACCTAATAGACCTTTATTCTTGATGACTTAGCAAATATTTTTAAAGAAGCTTGGATTGCTGCACATCATGAAGAATGGAACTCATATCGTCACGAAGTATGTGAAATTCATTGTCACCTCGTCCCTCAATTCACGAACCACGCACATACATCTTTCACCTCAATTGATAGCATGTCCACCCCATCCCATAGGCCTGCAAAACTGCACATGTGCTTGAAAGTGACAATATGTTACCTTACATCATAATGGAATAATAAAGAACACAACAATGTCTAGAGGAATGAGTTGAAACATACCTTAAGGGTCTGTGGAGAATGGGAATCCCTTGGTATGAGTCGCACCTTTTCTTACAACTTTCTTATGGTTCTTTGTCCTCCCTCCCCCCATCATCATATGTGGATCTCCTTGGAGTACCATTTCAACATCATATCATTATATTAGACTCTTCCCGAGCCACTTATTCATATCATGTGAGTCATCACTCTCAACTACTCCCCAATTTCGTCAATGATATGTTGACCCTATACGACTGTAATAAATCTCAACCTCTCGAGACCACTGTTCTCTCATTCATCATCGGTTGCATTCATAACACAATTGTTGAAGCATGCACAGTATTTACGAAGAAGCATATTTTCACTGTAATAGTACAAAACTAAGAATCAAATATATAGGTATCGTAGTACTTACACAATTCTTCTAGATGACCCTACTCAAAACCTCTTCATTAGTGGGTTCTTGCCTAAAACTTCACCTCAACATGCAAGGAATCACTATATATTATAAACCTGACCAGTATTTCTCCGTAGGCAAAGCCTCGTATATCCTCACCTGCAAAATCAATGAAAATAACAAAATTAGTAAAATCCAAAAAAAAAAAAAAAACATTTAAATGCAACACTAAAGTTGGGTTATGTATTATACGTACCTGAAAGGCATATAGCAACCCAATCAAGTCGTACCTCTCATTATCATGCTTAACCCTTCTTACTTTTCTGCTCTTGAAATTTGTTAAAACACCCTTTGATCGCCTTTTGGAGACATTCTAGGTTCTTTTCCCATGTAATTCTACCCCACGGATATGAGTTAGTCTACGTCATTGACCCATAACATTTTCTCATACCTAAAAACCCTCCACGAGTTCTACTCAAGATAAATTGCTTCAAAATGTAAAGGAGAGCCAATTTTACTACATCCTAGGGTGGGACTTTGGTGAAGTTCTTCCCATTGAACCACTTTTTAAAATCTTGAATTTTCCACATCTGAGATTTTATGTAATTGTCCATAATTTAATTCCCCAACCCCGTCACATGTGCAAATTCGTAGGGAGAAAATCTAATTGTCCTCCCACCAACTTTAAACCACAACTCATCATCCAATCCTTTTGTTTTTAACCCCTTAACAGTATGTTGTGGCATAACTTCCCAGAAAATTGTATCTCCCTCATGTCCATCAACTTGCCAAAAATGTTTGCCTAAACAAGTTAATTGTGTAACAATTAACTTCTCCTTAAATTTTTTAAACACTTCAAGACCGCATTTGTTTGTAACTATCACCAGATAGTGGTACTCATCTGCTAGAGTAACTAAATCCTGGCTAACATTTATATTGTAACCTACATGATATAAAATTGCAAAATATGACAAAACGTTCTTTGAAAAACCATGAAATTAACTTGACCAACACCGTACCCAAATGACTAATAGTCCCTAGGTGTCAGTGACTGAAACTATGGAATAGGTTACCGATACCTAAGCATAACTGACCGGCACCTAAAATCATACATTGATGTCGGTCAAAACCATTTTATCCATATTGTGTATGTTTTGACCGATACCTGGGTGTTAGTCAAAATACGCAGTTAATGTCTTCTTCGCATGTACCAACCATTTTTTTTATCAAAAACATACACAACAGTCTAAAAACAACATCCAAACCACCTAAACTGCTCCATATAACTTCAAACTTTCCAAAAACTCAAATCTATGATTCAATGACTTGAAAATTTTAAAAAATAAAATAAAATAAATAAAAAACTAACTAACCTGTAGATCATGAATAAGAGACTTCGTCCAAACTTCAAAGTTCAAATATTGATTGAAATTGGATAAAAAAAAACACTGGGTTTGAGTTTGATTGATTTGAATTTGGTGAAGAGGGAAAGATTTTGCCAAGGGTTATGGTTTATGTTTGATTGAAAATGAGTATATGAATGATATTTTTGTTCATACGAAAATGGTAAAATGTGGTTGGACTAATCCGTAAGGAGGTGTTTGGTTGGGGATTATCCCCCATTATTGAGATAATGACATTTTATATTACTTAGATTATCACATTTGATTGTCAAGTAATATTAAATTTCGTTAATTTTTCAAAATTAATAGTAATTACTGTTGATTATATAAGTGGTAATTTGAATACTATGATTTTCTTAGGTATTTTGAAATTACTTAGTAATTTTTTTATTATAATTTTACCCATTATTAAAAAAAATTTAGGACAATAATACTCTTCTTTTGAAATTAATTTACATGAACCTACCATTACAATTTTACATCCAATTATCTAACTTTTTGGACAGCAATGTCTTTGTATTTAAAACAAAGTGCAAGCCACCTAGGACCACCGTCGTCGCTCACCAACCACCACTATCAGTTAATGGCCACCACAACAGCCACCATCGATTGACGTCACCGAAATAGCACATGACTAGCTAGTCGAGGGTCAATCTGGCCGTTTTTCGGCTAGATCCGTGACTGTTTCCAGCCAAATTGACACACGGCTAGCTAGATTCAACCAGCCGTGCGCCGTTTCAGCGACTGTTGTCATGGTCGGCGGCTGGCAGTGGCTTGGGGTGAATGGGGGTGATTTTGTTAGAAATTGAACTTTTATGTAATTAGGGTGTTTTAGCAAAATCTCAAATGTAGGGGATTAAAAGAAATGATTCAAAAATTAATATTATATTAATATTTAAAAATGAGGATAATTTAATAATTTACATACTATATCCACCAATTTATTTTAACTTAACCTAATTAAACATATTTCTTTAAAGATTCTCAATAATCTTCAAAGTAATATATATTTCCATTAATATAACATTTTAAGTAATATAACATTCTCTCAAACAAACTTACCTTAAGAAACTTTCCACACTCCGACTTGGTTTTCATTTTCAATCCCAAATTTGGGTCATTTTTTATAATTTCTCTGATGATGTGGTATTTTCTAAAAAATAAATCAACTTTAATTAATTTAAAATAAATCAAGAAATTATTTTGAAAAAAATCCACGTCAGCTCAAAAGGTCAGTCGTATTACGTATTAATATGTATAAAACGACAAATTTCCCCACCTTCGAAGTGAATTTGAACTTTCGATTTCAAATCAATGTGAGAGTGAGAGTGCACTGTCACAAATCCCTAACGGACAAAAATGGAGATGACTGAAGAGCAAAGACAGAGAGCTGAAGCCAACCGGTTAGCAGCACTAGCGAAGCGAAAGGCACTCGCCGAATCCACTGCCAACCAACAACAACAACAGTATAATCAAGAAGCATGGAGGCTCTTCAAGTGCCGCAAGCTCTCTGTCGAACGCTTTGCCACAAAAAACGCCACCACCCATTTCCTAAAACCCTGTCAAAGAGTCTCGATTGGGCCGGATTCCAAGACCCATTTGCCCGAAAAGTTCCGGGTTAGGCTTGAAATATGCTCTCCCGACTCCTTCTCCGTCACGCCTGAAGCCGTGCAAGGGTTTTCATATCCGGGAGGGGAGGAGTGCTTAAGGAGACTCGACCATTGTTTATCTGACGTAAGTTTCTTTCTTTCTTTTTCTTTTCTTTTTTTTTCTTTTTTGTAAGTCTGGTGCTCTGTTTGGGCGGTGAGAAATATTGCTAGAAAATGGGAAGGAAAGGGGGAAAACACGATTAAAACGAATTAAATTGTTGTTTGATACGTTTAGAATAGTGAAAAGCCACATAATTGTTGCTTCTAAGAAGATCGTAAGGCTCGCCTGTTCTCAGTTTTGAACTCGAGCTTGTTAAGTGGGTTCGGGGAATTTTTGGGTGTTGAAATAGTATTGAAAATAAAAGATCAATCGTCTTTAATTGTTGAAGATAACGAAGGAATGGAAATTAAAAAAAAAAAAATTTAATGGAGCACTTAAAATTTAAGTATATGCGTATGTAATTGGAATGGTCTTCATTGGTTCTTGTTTGCACAGTGCTTATGACGGTGGCAAATTCTTGTTTGGAGTGCTGAAGAAACGAAGGAAAACTTTGGCACCTTTTTTTTGGTTTTGGTTTTTTTTTTTTAATTTTTTTTTAAGGAAATGGAAAGAAAAAAAATGTTTAAGATAGTGATCAATTTTTAGGTATTGTCTATAATGCTTGAAAGATTTTTGTTTATTTTGTTTTCAGAGCATTTCAATTTCTCAATTTGATCAGTGGAACCAATAGTCCTGGATTTTTTCCTTTGAGTTCTTTATCTTTTTGGATTTATAAGTTCTTGGGTAAACAAACTTTTAGTTATAAGCTGCTTTTCTCTAGATTTAGTCAATTACCTACAGAGTGGGTATTGATGGCATGATGAAAGGTTCGCAAATGTTTATGAATTTAAATTCGGTTTATCTTCTGTCTGTCTGGGGCTGGTTTGATTGGGTACTATATTTAACAACAGAAAATGGTTCAAGATTGTTGTATTGTTAAAATGATGTTCTTTGAGCTATTTTGTTTTGCTTTTGTGTAGGTCATGCCATCGCACTATACGCAGAGCAGTGGTGGTGGAAAGGCTTGTGTTTATAAGCTTGCTGACTACAATGCAGTTTTGACATGCTTGAAGAACTCCAGTGGTATTGAGGTTGAAGGAATACCTTGGGTTACTCTCAATGTTATTGAGAAACTTTCTCATTCATTTTCCTCTGGAAGATGGAATCCATGTAGACCAGAACATTTGTCTGATGAAATTGTTGATGAAATGCTTGGAAAGCTACCGAAACGTCTATTTGATGTGCTTTTGCCCTTCCAGCTTGAAGGTATAAGATTTGGTTTGCGAAGGGGTGGTCGGTGTCTTATTGCAGATGAAATGGGGCTCGGAAAGACACTACAGGTCACTATTTATATTATGTGCTCCATGTCTTATTGCCAGCTTATTTTATTTTATTTTATTCTTTTGTGCTTTGATTTTCTGATACCAACACTCAGTTATTCTTCTTACAAGATGGTTTGTATATCTCTTGTAAAAGAAAGGTACGATAATTTTACACTTCTATGGGTGTAATTTGTTTTCAGGCTATTACAATTGCAGCCTGTTTCATGAATGAAGGTTCTATCCTAGTTGTTTGTCCAGCAGTTTTGCGACTTCAGTGGGCAGAAGAATTAGAGCGCTGGCTTCCCTTTTGTTTACCTGCAGATATTCATCTTGGTAATTACTTTTTATTTGTACTCTTGTTACTTTCTCAGAAGAGTTCTAAGATTACATCTATAGGGAAAGGTGAAACCACTTTTCCAGGAAATGCTGGAACTTCATAATTATCTTTCTACACTCTAATTTAGGGCTTTCATATTGCTCAACATTTTAAATGTTTAATTGCATTAGTAATTCTGTTTTTCTCAATCTTAATTCCTTTTCTCTTCAGTTTTTGGTCATGAAAATAATCCTGCCCGTTTAACAAGATTCCCGAGAGTAGTTGTTATATCTTATAAAATGCTTCACCATTTGCGGAGGAGCATGACTGAGAGAGAATGGGCTCTCTTGATCATTGATGAATCTCACCATATACGTTGCTCCAAGAGAACATCTGAACCGGAGGAGGTATAAAATTTTTCCAATTTGTAGGCTGTATATCACTTCTTATTTTATGGATGGATGTTATTTTATTGTTTTCAATAATCTAATAAAAGTTCATGATGATACCTGGTCCCAGATGTTACTGGGATTTTGCAGTTTCATCTTTTGAAGTACCTTCATGTAATATGAGCTAAAAGGGTATTCAAGTTCTTTTCATAAGCCATTTAGTTAAGTTGATGGTCATGGAAAGGAACCACATAGGAATATAAGCAAATCTTAATTAATGGTATTGGTCAACCTTACTACAACTCAGCATTGGCAGAAAGGTTGGAGCTTTCTAGACAAAAAAGCATTCTGTAAAACATATGGAAAATCATGAAATAAAAATAAAATGAAAATGCACACACTACTGTTTGAATACTTTTAAAAAAGTTATCTATTTGTGGTTGAAAGATGCCTATATGCATTAGAAGCAACATTTTTGGGAAAAAAAACCCTTTTGTTCAAGTTATTTTTGATAAATTTTATTATAGGACTTGTGTATTAACAGGTAAAAGCTGTACTTGAAGTGGCGGCTAAGGTTAAGCGCATAGTTCTACTATCGGGGACACCTTCTTTGTCAAGGTTGTATCTAGGGCTCTTCGGCAGAATATTGGCGTTGTTGATATGCATCATTCCTGGTTGAAAATTGTTTAGAGATTTATTTTTATTGATGTGTTGCTTAAATAGGTATATGTGCAAGTTTCTTTTTATTAGTTCCCATTGTATCCTAATATCTTATTTTATACTTTTTCCTAGGTGATCATAGGCCCTATGACATTTTTCATCAGATAAATATGTTATGGCAAGTGTACTCACCCCTTTATATCTCGTGTTATGATTATATTTGGCATTTTTCCTCTTATATATATACATTTCAATGCTTCTGTTTTATAGGCCTGGTTTGCTAGGAAAGAACAAGTATGAATTTGCAAAAACTTACTGTGATGTCAAAGTTGTCAAAGGTTATCAAGGACATCGTTTCCAGGTAATTTATATAGTTTTATGAAAGTATCGTATGGTTCTTAAAAAGGTATGTAAAATCATATAGTTGCTCCAGAGTGTGCTTAGTTTATGGGATAAATCATGGGATTAGATCATTTCTTAAGTTATAATCCTATATCCAATTTTAACATCTCCAAGAGGGAACAGAACTAGTAGTTCTGGCTGACCAATTAATCTCTCACCATCTGTTGCTGACACAATTATCTATGTTTGGTTCTATGTATACTTACTAGTTAAGTTGCTCTATTATAGTTCCTGTATATGAGGGATAATTATGGGTGTGTCATTTATTAATACCAACCTTTTTTGGTTGTTTGCTTGTCACTTGAAAATCCTAAGATGATTAATGGGACCATCTCTGCAGGACTTTTCAAGGGGTGTTCGCTTGGAGGAGTTAAATGTGTTACTAAAGCAAACTGTTATGGTACGCTCTTGTTCTCTATTTGTACAATGTAGTGTAGACTATTGTCTGTATTCTGTAACTTGGTTAATAATCTCATTTGCATGCAAAAAAAAGCAGACAAAAAATTCCTGTCACACTGTTATGGTCTTAGTGTTAACTTTTTAAGTGGAACTGTTCGCAGTGTGAGAGAATAGTGACATCACTATGATCATTGTTTATGAAGTTTGACAAATTTTAGTGGCCATTCATTGTATTGCCAGTATTGTTGAATGCTAAAAATGTAAAAATATTGATCTTTTTTAATGAATTAAACAAGTAACACAATATAGTTCAAATAATGCATAATATGGAAAGTCTTAAGCTACAATTTTACTGATATTCTGTGCATTCTAACTGTTTCAGAAATGTTACTTTGAGTCTACTTATTGAATTGATGTAGAATAGGTAGGAGAAATGGAAGAGAGAGGGGAGGGACAGAAAATAGCTGAATTTAGAGGGAAGGAGAAGAAGAGAAATAGAAAGGCAGAAGAATAATGAGTATTAGAGGGAGTCAATATTTAATGAATGTTAAACACTGAAAACAAAACACAAGTGCCTATTTATATTGTCCAAAATCTTAACATAAAAAGAATTTGATATCTTTCTTGAATGAGTATCGTGATGTGCTCTTAAGAAACCATGGAGGCCAATTCAATAAGAATAAGGAATAAGTTTCAGAAATAAAAATAATTCCTAAATAGCTCCTAAAATAAACAAATGAAGCTTTGGTTCTTGGTTTTAGATTAATGAATATGATGAATCTCATTTTTTATTTTTTCTACTTGGTTGAATGGTGGTAGACATTGCCATATCTTTTACTCTCCTAATCATAGTGCTACAATTTAAACTTGATTTATGATTATTCTAATGTTTTCTTTTCCAAGTTTGACTCATCTGCAGATGCTTTTTTCCTCTCTGTATTATAGATAAGACGTTTGAAGCAGCATGTGCTGGTTCAGTTACCACCCAAACGTCGACAGATCATAAGATTGTTTTTGAAGAGATCAGACATGGTTTTAGCAAAAGCCACTGTTGGAAAGTCCAATGATTGTGCTTATGAAAAGGATGCTGCAGAAGACATGACTCCTGAGGATTTAGATGAACCTGATAGTGATTTGCAATCGTATAAAGAAAATGGCATGTTCTCTTTTATATCTCAAGCTGTTTTGTACCAGTTTCTGATTTCTTAATGTGATATATCTTTGCATTATAGTTTATTACTACACCAAAAACATTTTATAACATAGTCAGGAGGGTTCTTTGGTTTGGCATAAAACTTTGATACTGGAATTCCTGAATATTCTAAGTACTGCATGATTGTGTTTTATCAATTGTAGTCCATTTTTTTTATCTTGAGCTGTTGAAATCAGATTTTACTCTGTAGTTGTTTCATTTTAAACTTAAAGAATTCAGGTTCTAAACTAATTGAACAATGATGTAGGCCAAAGTGTGTGGGCTTGATTGGAAATACAAGAATTATTAAGATTCTTATCGCTATGGTTTGTATTGTTCTTGATATTTTAACAATTTAAAAGATGACCTAAGTTGTCTCTGAAATTGCTGGTTTTTCTATGCTTTTATAAGATGGTGACTTGTTCACAACTTGTTTCCTAGTCTCTGAGAAAGAGCAAAATAATGGCAATAAGTTGTTATAGGTTGGTTAAGGTGTGGTCAAGCATGCTTTAGTACACAATTTGTGCATGTAACGTAGTTTTGGACACTTCTTATGCTGTTCCTTTGCTTTTATACTCAGATAATTCGGCTTGTAGCAAATCGGAGAAGCTCTCATACCAAGAACTTGGTGTTGCAAAGCTCACCGGGTTTCGTGAATGGCTTTCCCTTCATCCCCTCCTTGCAGAGTCAGATGGTGTTGCGGACTTGGATTTGAACCCTAGTTCTAACAAAATGATAATCTTTGCCCATCACCATAAAGTTCTTGATGGAGTACAGGTGATTTCTTTCTCACTTCTTTTTTCCTTGCTGAGAAACAAAGTATACTTGCATGAAACATAAGGAGATTTACTGGGGTGTACAAAAGTATATAAGGATGAACTGTCAAAAAATCCCTAGGAGATACGAAAGAATTTGTGCAAGTGATGTATTGGTTAGCTTAAAAAAGGTAATGATTTTGGGGAACCTTCCATACAACACAATTGGTCAACACAATTGCTCAATAAATTACTGGGGTTCATCAAGAATGAAGGAAAGGTATGGTCATACTCAACAACGTAATTGAATCAGAACTTATAAAAACTTAACTGGATCTTTGATGATGCAACCTATCCAACAGAAGTTTAATGAAATTTAGATTGATAAAATGGTTAAATATGAAAATGAATGCATGACAACTTTTCAAATTAGTTGTGGAGTATTGAGGGTTTACTTAATTTTGAATTTGATTATATAGCTGTTATGAACATTTCTACTATGATAATTGTGAAATTTTTTATTCAACTGATGTGTACAATAATATCTCTTGGGAAATTTGTTTTTCATTGTGGTGTTACTTTTGATTCTAAATTTGTTTTATTTGAGTTCCTCAGGAGTTTGTATGTGAAAAGTGCCGCAGCTCTCTTCGAACGCTTTGCCACAAAAAACGCCACCACCCATTTCCTAAAACCCTGTCAAGAGTCTCGATTGGGCCGGATTCCAAGACCCATTTGCCCAAAGTTCCGGGTTAGGCTTGAAATATGCTCTCCCGACCTCTTCTCCGTCACGCCTGAGCCGTGCAAGGGTTTTCATATCCGGAGGGAGGAGTGCTTAAGGAGACTCGACCATTGTTTATCTGACGTAAGTTTCTTTCTTCTTTTTTCTTTCTTTTTTTTTTCTTTTTTGTAAGTCTGGTGCTCTGTTTGGGCGGTGAAAATATTGCTAAAAATGGGAAGGAAAGTGGAAAACACGATTAAAACGAATTAAATTGTTGTTTGATACGTTTAGATAGTGAAAAGCCACATAATTGTTGCTTCTAAGAAGATCGTAAGGCCCGCCTGGTCTCAGTTTTGAACTCGAGCTTGTTAAGTGGGTTCGGGAATTTTTGGGTGTGAAATAGTATTGAAAATAAAAGATCAATCGTCTTAATTGTTGAAGATAACGAAGGAATGGAAATCAAAAAAAAATTAATGAAGCACTTAAATTTAAGTATATGCGTATGTAATTGGAATGGTCTTCATTGGTTCTTGTTTACACAGTGCTTATACGGTGGCAAATTCTTGTTTGGAGTGCTGAAGAACGAAGGAAACTTTGGCACCTTTTTTTTGGGTTTTTTTTTTTAATTTTATTTTGAAGAAATGAAGAAAAAAAATGTTTAAGATAGTGATCATTTTTAGGTATTGTCTATAATGCTTGAAAGATTTTGTTTATTTTGTTTTCAGAGCATTTCAATTTCTCAATTTGATCAGTGGAACCAATAGTCCTGATTTTTTCCTTTGAGTTCTTTACTTTTTGGATTTATAAGTTCTTGTGAAACAAACTTAGTTATAAGCTGCTTTTCTCTAGATTTGTCAATTACCTCAGAGTGGGTATGTGATGGCATGATGAAAGGTTCGCAAATGTTTATGAATTTAAATTCGGTTTTCTCTGTCTGTCTGGGCTGGTTTGATTGGTACTATATTTAACAACAGAAAATGGTTCAAGATTGTTGTATTGTTAAAATGATGTTCTTTGAGCTATTTTGTTTTGCTTTTGTGTAGGTCATGCCATCGCACTATACGCAGAGCAGTGGTGGTGAAAGGCTTGTGTTTATAAGCTTGCTGACTACAATGCAGTTTTGACATGCTTGAAGAACTCCAGTGGTATTGAGGTTGAAGGAATCCCTGGGTTACTCTCAATGTTTTGAGAAACTTTCTCATTCATTTTCCTCTGGAAGATGGAATCCATGTAGACCAGAACATTTGTCTGATATTGTTGATGAAATGCTTGGAAGGTACCGAAACTCTATTTGATGTGCTTTTACCTCCTTCCAGCTTGAAGGTATAAGATTTGGTTTGCGAAGGGGTGGTCGGTGTCTTATGGCAGATGAAATGGGCTCGGAAAGACACTACAGGTCACTATTTATATTATGTGCTCCATGTCTTATTGCCAGCTTATTTTATTTATTCTTTTGTGCTTTGATTTTCTGATACCAACACTCAGTTATTCTTCTTACAAGATAGTTTGTATATCTCTTGTAAAAGAAAGGTACGATAATTTTACACTTCTATGGGTGTAATTTGTTTTCAGGCTATTACAATTGCAGCCTGTTTCATGAATGAAGGTTCTATCCTAGTTGTTTGTCCAGCAGTTTTGCGACTTCAGTGGGCAGAAGAATTAGAGCGCTGGCTTCCCTTTTGTTTACCTGCAGATATTCATCTTGGTATACTTTTTTTTTGTACTCTTGTTACTTTCTCAGAAGAGTTCTAAGATTACATCTATAGGGAAAGGTGAAACCACTTTTCCAGGAATGCTGGAACTTCATAATTATCTTTCTACACTCTAATTTAGGGCTTTCATATGCTCAACATTTTAAATGTTTAATTGCATTAGTAATCTGTTTTTCTCAATCTTAATTCCTTTTCTCTTCAGTTTTTGGTCATGAAAATAATCCTGCCCGTTTAACAATTCCCGAGAGTAGTTGTTATATCTTATAAAATGCTTCACCATTTGCGGAGGAGCATGACTGAGAGAGAATGGCCTCCTTGATCATTGATGAATCTCACCATATACGTTGCTCCAAGAGAACATCTGAACCGGAGGAGGTATAAAATTTTTCCAATTTGTAGGCTGCATATCACTTCTTATTTTATGGATGGATTTATTTTATTGTTTTCAATAATCTAATAAAAGTTCATGATGATACCTGGTCCCAGATGTTACTGGGATTTTGCAGTTTCATCTTTTGAAGTACCTTCATGTAATATGAGCTAAAAGGGTATTCAAGTTCTTTCATAAGCCATTTAGTTAAGTTGATGGTCATAGAAAGAACCACATAGGAATATAAGCAAATCTTAATTAATGGTATTGGTCAACCTTACTACAACTCAGCATTGGCAAAAGGTTGGAGCTTTCTAGACAAAAAAGCATTCTGTAAAACATATGGAAAATCATGAAATAAAAATAAAATGAAATGCACACACTACTGTTTGAATACTTTAAAAAAGTTATCTATTTGTGGTTGAAAGATGCCTATATGCATTAGAGCAACATTTTTGGGAAAAAAACCCTTTTGTTCAGTTATTTTTGATAAATTTTATTATAGACTTGTGTATTAACAGGTAAAAGCTGTACTTGAAGTGGCGGCTAAGGTTAAGCGCATAGTTCTACTATCGGGACACCTTCTTTGTCAAGTTGTATCTAGGGCTCTTCCGCAGAATATGGCGCTGTTGATATGCTTATTCCTGGTTGAAAATTGTTTAGAGAGTTATTTTTTTGATGTGTTGCTTAAATAGGTATATGTGCAAGTTTCTTTTTATTAGTTCCCATTGTATCCTATATCTTATTTTATACTTTTTCCTAGGTGATCATAGGCCATGACATTTTCATCAAGAAATTGTTATGGCAAGTGTACACCCTTTATATCTCGTGTTAGATTAATTTGGCATTTTTCCTCTATATATAATTTCAATGCTTCTGTTTTTAGGCCTGGTTTGCTAGGAAAGAATAAGTATGAATTTGCAAAAACTTACTGTGATGTCAAAGTTGTCAGAGTTTATCAAGGACACGTTTCCAGGTAATTTAATAGTTTTATGAAAGTATCGTATGGTTCTTAAAGGTATGTAAAACATATAGTTGCTCCAGAGTGTGCTTGTTTATGGTATAATGGGATTAGATCATTCAATAGTTATAATCCTATATCCAATTTTAACATCTCCAAGGGAACAGAACTAGTAGTTCTGGCTGACAATTAATCTCTCACCATCTGTTGCTGACACAATTATCTATGTTTGGTTCTATGTATACTTACTAGTTAAGTTGCTCTATTATTTTCCTGTATATGAGGGATAATTATGGGTGTGTCATTTATTAATACCAACCTTTTTTGGTTGTTTGCTTGTCACTTGAAAATCCTAAGATGATTAAGGGACCATCTCTGCAGACTTTTCAAGGGGTGTTCGCTTGGGGAGTTAAATGTGTTACTAAGCAAACTGTTATGGTACGCTCTTGTTCTCTATTTGTACAATGTAGTGTGACTATTGTCTGTATTCTGTAACTTGGTTAATAATCTCATTTGCAAGGCATTTTTGTTCATACAAAAATGGTAAAATGTGGTTGGACTAATCCGTAAGGAGGCGTTTAGTTGGGGATTATCCCCCATTATTGAGGTAATGTCATCTTATATTATTTAGATTATCACATTTGATTGTCAAGTAATATTAAATTTCGTTAATTTTTCAAAATTAATAGTAATTACTGTTAGTTATATAAGTGGTAATTTGAATACTATGATTTTCTTAGGTATTTTGAAATTACTTAGTAATTTTTTTATTATAATTTTACCCATTATTAAAAAAAATTTAGGACAATAATACTCTTCTTTTGAAATTAATTTACATGAACCTACCATTACAATTTTACATCCAATTATCTAACTTTTTGGACAGCAATGTCTTTGTATTTAAAACAAAGTGCAAGCCACCTAGGACCACCGTCGTCGCTCACCAACCACCACTATCAGTTAATGGCCACCACAACAGCCACCATCGATTGACGTCACCGAAATAGCACATGACTAGCTAGTCGAGGGTCAATCTGGCCGTTTTTCGGCTAGATCCGTGACTGTTTCCAGCCAAATTGACACACGGCTAGCTAGATTCAACCAGCCGTGCGCCGTTTCAGCGACTGTTGTCATGGTCGGCGGCTGGCAGTGGCTTGGGGTGAATGGGGGTGATTTTGTTAGAAATTGAACTTTTATGTAATTAGGGTGTTTTAGCAAAATCTCAAATGTAGGGGATTAAAAGAAATGATTCAAAAATTAATATTATATTAATATTTAAAAATGAGGATAATTTAATAATTTACATACTATATCCACCAATTTATTTTAACTTAACCTAATTAAACATATTTCTTTAAAGATTCTCAATAATCTTCAAAGTAATATATATTTCCATTAATATAACATTTTAAGTAATATAACATTCTCTCAAACAAACTTACCTTAAGAAACTTTCCACACTCCGACTTGGTTTTCATTTTCAATCCCAAATTTGGGTCATTTTTTATAATTTCTCTGATGATGTGGTATTTTCTAAAAAATAAATCAACTTTAATTAATTTAAAATAAATCAAGAAATTATTTTGAAAAAAATCCACGTCAGCTCAAAAGGTCAGTCGTATTACGTATTAATATGTATAAAACGACAAATTTCCCCACCTTCGAAGTGAATTTGAACTTTCGATTTCAAATCAATGTGAGAGTGAGAGTGCACTGTCACAAATCCCTAACGGACAAAAATGGAGATGACTGAAGAGCAAAGACAGAGAGCTGAAGCCAACCGGTTAGCAGCACTAGCGAAGCGAAAGGCACTCGCCGAATCCACTGCNTGGAACTTCATAATTATCTTTCTACACTCTAATTTGGGGCTTTCATATTGCTCAACATTTTAAATGTTTAATTGCATTAGTAATTCTGTTTTTCTCAATCTTAATTCCTTTTCTCTTCAGTTTTTGGTCATGAAAATAATCCTGCCCGTTTAACAAGATTCCCAAGAGTAGTTGTTATATCTTATAAAATGCTTCACCATTTGCGGAGGAGCATGACTGAGAGAGAATGGGCTCTCTTGATCATTGATGAATCTCATCATATACGTTGCTCCAAGAGAACATCTGAACCGGAGGAGGTATAAAATTTTTCCAATTTGTAGGCTGTATATCACTTCTTATTTTATGGATGGATGTTATTTTATTGTTTTCAATAATCTAATAAAAGTTCATGATGATACCTGGTCCCAGATGTTACTGGGATTTTGCAGTTTCATCTTTTGAAGTACCTTCATGTAATATGAGCTAAAAGGGTATTCAAGTTCTTTTCATAAGCCATTTAGTTAAGTTGATGGTCATGGAAAGGAACCACATAGGAATATAAGCAAATCTTAATTAATGGTATTGGTCAACCTTACTACAACTCAGCATTGGCAGAAAGGTTGGAGCTTTCTAGACAAAAAAGCATTCTGTAAAACATATGGAAAATCATGAAATAAAAATAAAATGAAAATGCACACACTACTGTTTGAATACTTTTAAAAAAGTTATCTATTTGTGGTTGAAAGATGCCTATATGCATTAGAAGCAACATTTTTGGGAAAAAAAACCCTTTTGTTCAAGTTATTTTTGATAAATTTTATTATAGGACTTGTGTATTAACAGGTAAAAGCTGTACTTGAAGTGGCGGCTAAGGTTAAGCGCATAGTTCTACTATCGGGGACACCTTCTTTGTCAAGGTTGTATCTAGGGCTCTTCGGCAGAATATTGGCGTTGTTGATATGCATCATTCCTGGTTGAAAATTGTTTAGAGATTTATTTTTATTGATGTGTTGCTTAAATAGGTATATGTGCAAGTTTCTTTTTATTAGTTCCCATTGTATCCTAATATCTTATTTTATACTTTTTCCTAGGTGATCATAGGCCCTATGACATTTTTCATCAGATAAATATGTTATGGCAAGTGTACTCACCCCTTTATATCTCGTGTTATGATTATATTTGGCATTTTTCCTCTTATATATATACATTTCAATGCTTCTGTTTTATAGGCCTGGTTTGCTAGGAAAGAACAAGTATGAATTTGCAAAAACTTACTGTGATGTCAAAGTTGTCAAAGGTTATCAAGGACATCGTTTCCAGGTAATTTATATAGTTTTATGAAAGTATCGTATGGTTCTTAAAAAGGTATGTAAAATCATATAGTTGCTCCAGAGTGTGCTTAGTTTATGGGATAAATCATGGGATTAGATCATTTCTTAAGTTATAATCCTATATCCAATTTTAACATCTCCAAGAGGGAACAGAACTAGTAGTTCTGGCTGACCAATTAATCTCTCACCATCTGTTGCTGACACAATTATCTATGTTTGGTTCTATGTATACTTACTAGTTAAGTTGCTCTATTATAGTTCCTGTATATGAGGGATAATTATGGGTGTGTCATTTATTAATACCAACCTTTTTTGGTTGTTTGCTTGTCACTTGAAAATCCTAAGATGATTAATGGGACCATCTCTGCAGGACTTTTCAAGGGGTGTTCGCTTGGAGGAGTTAAATGTGTTACTAAAGCAAACTGTTATGGTACGCTCTTGTTCTGCATTTGTACAGTGTAGTGTAGACTATTGTCTGTATTCTGTAACTTGGTTAATAATCTCATTTGCATGCAAAAAAAAGCAGACAAAAAATTCCTGCCACACTGTTATGGTCTTAGCATTAACTTTTTAAGTGGAACTGTTAGCAGTGTGAGAGAATAGTGTCATCACTATGATCATTGTTTATGAAGTTTGACAAATTTTAGTGGCCATTCATTGTATTGCCAGTATTGTTGAATGCTAAAAATGTAAAAATATTGATCTTTTTTAATGAATTAAACAAGTAACACAATATAGTTCAAATAATGCATAATATGGTAAGTCTTAAGCTACAATTTTATTGATATTCTGTGCATTCTAACCGTTTTAGAAATGTTACTTTGAGTCTGCTTATTGAATTGATGTAGAATAGGTAGGAGAAATGGAAGAGAGAGGGGAGGGACAGAAAATAGCTGAATTTAGAGGGAAGGAGAAGAAGAGAAATAGAAAGGCAGAAGAATAATGAGTATTAGAGGGAATCAATATTTAATGAATGTTAAACACTGAAAACAAAACACAAGTGCCTATTTATAATGGCCAAAATCTTAACATAAAAAGAATTTGATATCTTTCTTGAATGAGTATCGTGATGTGCTCTTAAGAAACCATGGAGGCCAATTCAATAAGAATAAGGAATAAGTTTCAGAAATAAAAATAATTCCTAAATAGCTCCTAAAATAAACAAATGAAGCTTTGGTTCTTGGTTTTAGATTAATGAATATGATGAATCTCATTTTTTATTTTTTCTACTTGGTTGAATGGTGGTAGACATTGCCATATCTTTTACTCTCCTAATCATAGTGCTACAATTTAAACTTGATTTATGATTATTCTAATGTTTTCTTTTCCAAGTTTGACTCATCTGCAGATGCTTTTTTCCTCTCTGTATTATAGATAAGACGTTTGAAGCAGCATGTGCTGGTTCAGTTACCACCCAAACGTCGACAGATCATAAGATTGTTTTTGAAGAGATCAGACATGGTTTTAGCAAAAGCCACTGTTGGAAAGTCCAATGATTGTGCTTATGAAAAGGATGCTGCAGAAGACATGACTCCTGAGGATTTAGATGAACCTGATAGTGATTTGCAATCGTATAAAGAAAATGGCATGTTCTCTTTTATATCTCAAGCTGTTTTGTACCAGTTTCTGATTTCTTAATGTGATATATCTTTGCATTATAGTTTATTACTACACCAAAAACATTTTATAACATAGTCAGGAGGGTTCTTTGGTTTGGCATAAAACTTTGATACTGGAATTCCTGAATATTCTAAGTACTGCATGATTGTGTTTTATCAATTGTAGTCCATTTTTTTTATCTTGAGCTGTTGAAATCAGATTTTACTCTGTAGTTGTTTCATTTTAAACTTAAAGAATTCAGGTTCTAAACTAATTGAACAATGATGTAGGCCAAAGTGTGTGGGCTTGATTGGAAATACAAGAATTATTAAGATTCTTATCGCTATGGTTTGTATTGTTCTTGATATTTTAACAATTTAAAAGATGACCTAAGTTGTCTCTGAAATTGCTGGTTTTTCTATGCTTTTATAAGATGGTGACTTGTTCACAACTTGTTTCCTAGTCTCTGAGAAAGAGCAAAATAATGGCAATAAGTTGTTATAGGTTGGTTAAGGTGTGGTCAAGCATGCTTTAGTACACAATTTGTGCATGTAACGTAGTTTTGGACACTTCTTATGCTGTTCCTTTGCTTTTATACTCAGATAATTCGGCTTGTAGCAAATCGGAGAAGCTCTCATACCAAGAACTTGGTGTTGCAAAGCTCACCGGGTTTCGTGAATGGCTTTCCCTTCATCCCCTCCTTGCAGAGTCAGATGGTGTTGCGGACTTGGATTTGAACCCTAGTTCTAACAAAATGATAATCTTTGCCCATCACCATAAAGTTCTTGATGGAGTACAGGTGATTTCTTTCTCACTTCTTTTTTCCTTGCTGAGAAACAAAGTATACTTGCATGAAACATAAGGAGATTTACTGGGGTGTACAAAAGTATATAAGGATGAACTGTCAAAAAATCCCTAGGAGATACGAAAGAATTTGTGCAAGTGATGTATTGGTTAGCTTAAAAAAGGTAATGATTTTGGGGAACCTTCCATACAACACAATTGGTCAACACAATTGCTCAATAAATTACTGGGGTTCATCAAGAATGAAGGAAAGGTATGGTCATACTCAACAACGTAATTGAATCAGAACTTATAAAAACTTAACTGGATCTTTGATGATGCAACCTATCCAACAGAAGTTTAATGAAATTTAGATTGATAAAATGGTTAAATATGAAAATGAATGCATGACAACTTTTCAAATTAGTTGTGGAGTAATGAGGGTTTACTTAATTTTGAATTAGATTATATAGCTGTTATGAACATTTCTACTATGATAATTGTGAAATTTTTTATTCAACTGATGTGTACAATAATATCTCTTGGGAAATTTGTTTTTCATTGTGGTGTTACTTTTGATTCTAAATTTGTTTTATTTGAGTTCCTCAGGAGTTTGTATGTGAAAAAGGGATTGGTTTTGTCCGCATTGATGGAAACACACTTCCCAGAGATAGGCAATCAGCTGTACTATCATTCCGATCATCAAACAAGGCTCGTTTTTTTATTCTCCTCATTTTCTTTTTTCTATCTGGTTTACTGGAAAATTTTGCTTTGTACCAACATGGTAGATATCTTTGCTCACCAGGTGAAAATTGCAATTATTGGTATAACTGCTGGAGGTGTTGGACTTGATTTCTCATCAGCGCAAAATGTTGTGTTTCTGGAGTTGCCTTTATCACCATCATTGATGCTTCAGGTCTAATCATTTGAATTTTTGTTCAGCTTTTCGAAATTTCAACTTTTATTATTTAATAAGAAATTGGAAATCCATATTTCTAATCTTATTTATGAGACCCACAATCTGTCCATACTATTTAATAGAACTTTCCATAAGTATTTGATATTTGGCTGTGCATGCAATAGACAGACTGAGAAATGAACTTATGGTTTTAGAAACAGTGTAGATAATAATATGATGTGGCTTCATATAATAAAGCTGTCATTTTTAAATTAGAATGGTGAGAGAGTTTACTCATTCATACTGTTGCTAATGTGGAAGTTACTGAAGTATTTGTGGTAAAGCATCTTCCTACGTTATTTTTATTGGTATTTCCAGAGTTAAGATGCATCTCATGCATGAGTATTTGTATATGTAGGATGCTATTTTTATTTTTGGATGAAAAGGTTTGTGAGCATGTTGAGAATGTTCTTTTTGAAAAGGAATATAAGCCTGTATTCACTTTGTCTTTACTTTTTTGCCTGAGGATTTTCCTTGATTTAATGTTAATCAACCCTTTGATGCATGTAATTATTTATTTTGAAGGCTGAAGACAGAGCTCATCGGCGAGGACTAAAAAGTGCGGTCAACATATACATCTTTTGTGCAAAGGTTCTATTTTCTTTCATCATATCATTTTGTTGAACTTATGTTTCTCTTTTACATATGAATGATGGTTGTCATATTGCAGGACACAGTGGATGAGTCACACTGGCAAAGATTGAACATAACTCTACGCCGTGTATCATCTACTACAAATGGAAAATATGATGCAGTGCAAGAGATAGCGGTACTGTTTCTATCAATTAGCCGATAATGTATTGTAGAATCCAGTGGCAGTTGTGTAAAAGGTCCCAATATGGGGTCGCAGAATGAATTTTAAACATTGTATTTCCAAATGAGCATGGGTTGGTGATTCCTGTGAAACAGATCTGCTGCAAGCTTCCATTTTTGTTCTTTGATTGCTAAAGCTATGGATTTTCAAGTAGTTATATATAGTTTATTTTTTTAGTTAGAAAGTTACCAACAGTATCTGAAGTAAAATATCCATTACTAGCTGAGATAGGCTTTGCAATTCTCATTTTCTGTTAGGATATTGTAGAGAATCTAGTTGTTTCTTTCCCAAAGTGTGACTAACTTTGGTGGGTTTTTTTTTTCTTTTCTTTTTTTGTGTTATTATTTTGCTCACCATGGTTTTAGATTTGTTTATCTTTTTTTGACATTGAACTTTATTTCTGTGGTTTGGCAGGTTGAAGGTGTTTCATATCTGAAAATTTCTGATAAAACTGACTCAGGCTGTGAAGATCAAACTCTGGATCAAGTGTCCTCTGGCAAGCCCTCTGAACAGTNAGTGCTAAAGCTATGGATTTTCAAGTAGTTATATATAGTTTATTTTTTTAGTTAGAAAGTTACCAACAGTATCTGAAGTAAAATATCCATTTCTGGCTGAGATAGGCTTTGCAATTCTCATTTTCTGTTTAGGATATTGTAGAGAATTTAGTTGTTTCTTTCCCAAAGTGTGACTAACTTTGGTGGGTTTTTTTTTTCTTTTCTTTTTTTGTGTTATTATTTTGTTCACCATGGTTTTAGATTTGTTGTCTTTTTTTGACATTGAACTTTATTTCTGTGGTTTGGCAGGTTGAAGGTGTTTCATATCTGAAAATTTCTGATAAAACTGACTCAGGCTGTGAAGATCAAACTCTGGATCAAGTGTCCTCTGGCAAGCCCTCTGAACAGTTAATGAGTTTGGGAGAGTCAAATTTAGCTCAGGACATGCAATCTGCTAAAGAAAATGATGAAGTAACTACAAATATGAATTACAAATCTGTTGAACAGAGTAAAATTGATGTTATTTCAAGTGAAACAGATGATCTTCTTATTGAGGTGCAATTTTAATCTTATAAAATCTATCTTGTTTTTTCCCAAATTTGAAATTGTGCTTTTATTCACTATATAACTTGCATGAATTTGCTCTTTTAGTTTGATTAGAAACTAAATTTTATTGGTTGAACAGGCTGACATAGTTCCAGAGCTAGAAATAGAAAAGGATTATATTTCAATGGAAAAAGTGAAAGAAGCCACTCTTTCTGGTGGTGAAATTGGAATGCCTGAAAAGGTTTTTTCTTCTGAGTTGGTTAAAAGCAATAAAGATGAGGATCAACTTGAAAAGGTGTTCTACCTAACGCAGAAACAAGTATCTTCTTTTTGTTTTAATTATATGTTGGACTAAATTTTTTTTTTTTCCATATAAATCTGAGCACGCAGGAATTTAAATCCAACCCTCAAATAACAGAAGTAGATGATGTTGCATTTCTTCCTCCAACTGAAGCTGATGAATGTTGCTCTAATGAAGTGAATTCTTTGCGGTTTGAGGTAAAAAAAAAAAAAAAAAAAAGAAAGATTTTTCTTTTTAAAAATGTTTTTTTTACCCTTTCTTATCACTAGGTAATTGTAATATTTTTTATCAAAAGCAAAATTAAAACCATTTGGTCTGCTATTCTTATTTAGACACCTAGCTCCTAGAGTCACTATTTAACTGTTGTTTTTCTCATGGAAAAACTTCATATTCACTTTTCAGCTATATGGTTACGAATGTGTTGGATAACTTACTTGTTTTTGCTAGTGTGCTGTGTAGTTTTGGGTATTTTATGCCTCTTTGTGAATATCACTATTTCAGTTAAATCCACTTTTACAGTTTAGCAGAGTTCCTAATATAATCATAATGGGATTCTGTAATTATTTTGCAACTACAACAAATCTTTCTGAGATTATGCATCCTGTTGCAATCTTTAATCTGAATAAAATTATGCCTGTTATTCTATTGAATTATATTATCTGGTAACATAACTTTAAACAACTGTTCTATCGGATAAAGTTTTTCTATATATGGTTTCCTTTCCTTTGTTGAAATTGCTTTTGCTTTTGCTTTTAATTACTAGTTATCCATACCATTAGTTTGTCACAATTGGCTGTACCTGCTGTTCAGGTGAGTCAATATACTGGAAGGATCCACTTATATTCATGCATTCAAGGGGAAGATTCAAGACCAAGGCCACTGTTTGAGAGTTTCCGATTGGAGGAAATTGATAACAAGGAAAGAATTTCTAAATCATTAAAGGACAACCCAGGTTATAGACATGCCATTCTGGAATTCATCAGTGACTGGAATAAACTACGGCCAATAGAACAAACTAAATTACTTGGAAAGCCTTTGCAACTTCCTTTATCAGTTGAGTTGTGCTATTTGAAGGCAACCATTAACCACAACACTGGGGTATGTCTGATAAGAGCTGCTTTTCTGATCTTTCTCTGGCTATTTGTTTAACTCCTTTTTTTTTTAGTAATATACATTTTCAATTTCATATCCACAAAAAAGTTTATTATGGTTTAATTGTATTTTTATAATAACATATCATGACTTGTTTGAGGAATTCTGTACCAGGGACTGCTAAAGGGTGGAAGCAAACGGCGAACTACACCATCAGATGAGATTAGTCGTCCTTTGCCATCAGATGCTATGTGGAAAAAGATTCGTATTTGTGGTGGCTCCAGAAAGAAGGAGAGAGAGTTCACTCAGGGCTGGACTCTAAATGATGAACCGCTCTGTAAACTCTGTCAAAAACCTTGCAAGTAAGCTCAAATTAGTGATCTTTCACTGTAACTATGTATGGTAGATTTACATGCTTTCTTTCATTTCAGGGGTAACATTGCCAAGACACCAGAATATTTTGAAGATCTGTTTTGTGATCTTGGCTGTTATGAAGAATATCGCTTAAGAACTAGTGGCAGATTCCTCCGTGAGGTTAGGACATATAGAGTCATTGTAGGCTCATTGTTTACCTTCTTTTCTTGTTGAAATTTTGACGTGCTTTCCAGCACTTGTCTTTATTTCTTGTTATTAAATCAATGCATAGTCGCATAATGTATATTCTCAATATTTCCAGGAACTTTTTCAAATAGAACATGGTGTCTGCACAAATTGCCAATTGGACTGCCATAAACTTGTGAAGCACATAAAACCTTTATCATTGGAGAGGCGACAGAAGTATATTGAGAAAGTGGCACCAAATGTAGCATGCCGGAAGAATTTGTGAGTCACTTAAATGCTAGTGCATGTTTTCTAATTGCTTCAATATGATGCTCAAATGTAGCATACTTTGTGCTAATTAAAGTTGTGTTTCCTCAAAAGTAGCTGATGCAGCAGATAGCTTGGCTAGAGTTAGATATCACTCTAACCTCATGGCTTGAGTGCACGAAGACAGCTTTGCTAGACTTAGATGATTCTAATCTCATGACTTGAGCCCAGGAACCCTAACGAAAAACAAAAACAAATACAACTCAAATGAGAAAATAAAACTTGACTAAATTAAATATTCCTGATTTAAATATACTCCTAATTAAAATATATAGCAACTTAAGTTCCTATTATGAAATCTTAAATTAATAAGAAAATCAAATAAAAATACTAAGAAAGCTAATATTTGACAACAACGTCCTACATCAGTAGAGGTTAATGAATTTTCCTGTTTATGCTTATTAAATGAAATGCAACATTGAAAGCCATGCAACTGCTGAGATTGGAGTTTGGTACATTGATCAGACACTCCACATATATTTAAAGGAAAGAATGTATTTCATAGTGATACNCAAAATTAAAACCATTTGGTCTGCTATTCTTATTTAGACACCTAGCTCCTAGAGTCACTATTTAACTGTTGTTTTTCTCATGGAAAAACATCATATTCACTTTTCAGCTCTATGGTTACGAATGTGTTGGATAACTTACTTGTTTTTGCTAGTGTGCTGTGTAGTTTTGGGTATTTTATGCCTCTTTGTGCACCACAATGTCACTATTTCAGTTAAATCCACTTTTACAGTTTAGCAGAGTTCCTAATATAATCATAATGGGAATCTGTAATTATTATGCAACTACAACAAATCTTTCTGAGATTATGCATCCTGTTGCAATCTTTAATCTGAATAAAATTATGCCTGTTATTCTATTGAATTATATTATCTGGTAACATAACTTTAAACAACTGTTCTATCGGATAAAGTTTTTCTATATATGGTTTCCTTTCCTTTGTTGAAATTGCTTTTGCTTTTGCTTTTAATTACTAGTTATCCATACCATTAGTTTGTCACAATTGGCTGTACCTGCTGTTCAGGTGAGTCAATATACTGGAAGGATCCACTTATATTCATGCATTCAAGGTGAAGATTCAAGACCAAGGCCACTGTTTGAGAGTTTCCGATTGGAGGAAATTGATAACAAGGAAAGAATTTCTTAATCATTAAAGGACAACCCAGGTTATAGACATGCCATTATGGAATTCATCAGTGACTGGAATAAACTACGGCCGATAGAACAAACTAAATTACTTGGAAAGCCTTTGCAACTTCCTTTATCAGTTGAGTTGTGCTATTTGAAGGCAACCATTAACCACAACACTGGGGTATGTCTGATAAGAGCTGCTTTTCTGATCTTTCTCTGGCTATTTGTTTAACTCCTTTTTTTTTTAGTAATATACATTTTCAATTTCATATCCACAAAAAAGTTTATTATGGTTTAATTGTATTTTTATAATAACATATCATGACTTGTTTGAGGAATTCTGTACCAGGGACTGCTAAAGGGTGGAAGCAAACGGCGAACTACACCATCAGATGAGATTAGTCGTCCTTTGCCTTCAGATGCTATGTGGAAAAAGATTCGTATTTGTGGTGGCTCCAGAAAGAAGGAGAGAGAGTTCACTCAGGGCTGGACTCTAAATGATGAACCGCTCTGTAAACTCTGTCAAAAACCTTGCAAGTAAGCTCAAATTAGTGATCTTTCACTGTAACTATGTATGGTAGATTTACATGCTTTCTTTCATTTCAGGGGTAACATTGCCAAGACACCAGAATATTTTGAAGATCTGTTTTGTGATCTTGGCTGTTATGAAGAATATCGCTTAAGAACTAGTGGCAGATTCCTCCGTGAGGTTAGGACATATAGAGTCATTGTAGGCTCATTGTTTACCTTCTTTTCTTGTTGAAATTTTGATGTGCTTTCCAGCACTTGTCTTTATTTCTTGTTATTAAATCAATGCATAGTCGCATAATGTATATTCTCAATATTTCCAGGAACTTTTTCAAATAGAACATGGTGTCTGCACAAATTGCCAATTGGACTGCCATAAACTTGTGAAGCACATAAAACCTTTATCATTGGAGAGGCGACAGAAGTATATGGAGAAAGTAGCACCAAATGTAGCGTGCCGGAAGAATTTGTGAGTCACTTAAATGCTAGTGCATGTTTTCTAATTGCTTCAATATGATGCTCAAATGTAGCATACTTTGTGCTAATTAAAGTTGTGTTTCCTCAAAAGTAGCTGATGCAGCAGATAGCTTGGCTAGAGTTAGATATCACTCTAACCTCATGGCTTGAGTGCACGAAGACAGCTTTGCTAGACTTAGATGATTCTAATCTCATGACTTGAGCCCAGGAACCCTAACGAAAAACAAAACAAATACAACTGAAATGAGAAAATAAAACTTGACTAAATTAAATATTCCTGATTTAAATATACTCCTAATTAAAATATATAGCAACTTAAGTTCCTATTATGAAATCTTAAATAAATAAGAAAATCAAATAAAAATACTAAGAAAGCTAATATTTGACAACAACGTCCTACATCAGTAGAGGTTAATGAATTTTTTTGTTTATTCTTATTAAATGAAATGCAACATTGAAAACCATGCAACTGCTGAGATTGGAGTTTGGTACATTGATCAGACACTCCACATATATTTAAAGGAAAGATTGTATTTCATAGTGATGCTTTTCCGACAGAATTACACTGATATCATTTCTACGAAATGGCTTATTAACCTGCTTCCCAAAAGCCAATAATATTAGCTCTGATGTCTTGCAGGCTTGAAAAACTTGTCAATGATCCAACCGAAGGCAATGCATGGCACGCTGACCACATTATTCCTGTCTACAAAGGTGGAGGTATAGTCTTGTCTTATTGATCGATTTATTTCTCTGCAAATATGATTTTTGTTCTGAAGTATAGTAGTTCCAGTATATTCATTATTGAAAAATTAATCATATTGACATTTACCATCATAAGTCATTACTTGAATGGCATACTTCCAACCAGCTTGTCAAATTATGTGCCATCATATCTGTTGAACTTCCGAATCCTCCCCAATGATGTGCTAGGCTCTGCTTTTGGGAGTTCCCTGAACACCATTTTTGTTAACCAGAATAGTCCAGAAGTGCCCAACAAACTGATGTCTGTGAGGTTATCTATTTAATTAGGCAGTATTCCAAATCATGATGATCAGCTTGCCTCTTATCGATTTTAGAGAGAAAATGATGTTACTTGTGTATAAACTAATTCGACTGTTACTGCATATTAGTGAGAAATAGTTTAATTTTTAAATGAACTTGCATTGTTTTGCCTGGAAAAAGTAAATTTTCTTGAATCTTGTATTAATTAAAGTTCATTTTCATTTCAAAATTTCATTAGGGGAATGCAGGTTAGAGAATATGAGGACCCTTTGTGTAGCTTGCCATTATGATGTTACTAAAGCTCAATGTGTTGAACGACGCTCAACTAGGGCAAAGGCAAGGAAACAACTCAAAGTGATCATGAGTGGCCTCAGAAATGATGAAAATAATGATATTACTGGCTCTCATAAAAAGGTACATCCTGAAGAGCATGTCTTCTGTTTTCCATTATATCTGATTTTGCACGGATTAAACATACAATATGCCTTACATTCCGAGCAGGCATGAAATTTAGTCAAGAAGGTGTCATTGATCCAGTGTTTTGAGTAATAATAGATCAAACTAACCAATGAATATTTTTCTCTCACTAGGTGGGCTTTGGGATTTATTAAACTTCATCTAGTACTTCCTGGGATTTTTTAATTTTCAGCGCAACTGAGTTTTCATAAAGTTATAATATATACAATTGTCCTAATTAGTTGGTCTAATCATAGCCGGGTAAAAGTTATTCTCTAAGTTAAGGCACTTGGACATTTCTGTTATTCAGATATTTTATGTCCTATAAAATGATTTTTGAGGTTGGAAGAGGAAAAAGCTTCAATTTATCAAAAGCATGTAAATTCATCTTATGAGGCCTTACCTTTTTCCCTTACTAAATCAGATAATGTTTTACAATCTTAGTCTTCAGACAGAAAGACCGGAGTTAGATTACAATGATAAACAAGACATCCTTGTTTGGAGATAGGGTCTATGGTAATTTTGTTTTCCATAATTATGTTGCATTAAAATATACATGTTTCAGGACAAAGGGCATCTGGAGATGCAAGAAAACATAGCTGAGGATGAGCTTTTAGTCAAAGTTCCCGGAAGTTCCTACTCTGGAGGGCTAAGCATTGTTACTGAAAATGAAGACTTGAAGAAGTCATCCGAAACTTTACAACCAGACCTTGAGTGAAGAAATACACACCTGAATGATATTTATTATAAGTATGGCTGCTTCAACAAAAACCATACGGCTTACAATTGTACAGCAGCAAGCAATATACAATTTGAAGCAGTTCAAAATTTTTTGTATCCTTAGTCCCTGGCTCCTTTAAGATGGCTCGAGTCTTTGCTGTTTTGGAGAAAAAATCTTGGGACGACAATTAGGTATTAGGAAGTACCAAGGACTGTTGATTATGTAAGCAAATACTGTTATCATCATAATAATATACAAATACGACACGTTGTCACTTTTTTGCCAGCATTTAATTCATGTTAGCCTGATTTTCAATGGGTTTTTCCTCCAATGACATACACAGTTGAAATATCTTATCGTTAACAATAGTGAAAGTTTTAAATATATTATAATTTATGTAATCCTTTTAGCGCCTCCTGTGCCCTTCAAACACCAGGTGACATTAAAAAAGGAAAACTTATACATGTAGTTAACACTTTTGTGTTATATTGTACTGATCTTCTCCTATAATTCATAACTCTAATATAGCCACCCATCTCAGAAAAACCCACAAGAACCCAGCTATTATAACAGAACTATAAGACAGTTTTTCAGGTTTCACCTCAGTTACAGCATGTTTCCTAGACATGTATCGCATGAGCTCCTTTGTTAGTACCAATATGTTGTTATAAAAGCTGCAAAACCAGTAAACATCCATAGGGAAGCAACCCTTCCTATCAAAACGAGATCTGCCAGCATGGACTCATACTTGCTCACTAGCATTGGTAATCTCTGCTGAAAAGAACTGCTCCGCTCTATCAATGAAGTTACTAGGGAATCTATGATGCAACATTAAAGAACTTTCAATCGCCAGTGCATTGTGCTTCAGGGCTATATCTTCACAAGTTTTTGTTGTTTTGCTATCTTTCTGGTTTCTCATCTTGCCAACTCTTGTGCTGTTTCCTAGAGCACCGCCCTTTCCCAGAGAGAGTCTTGCGCTTCTAGCAGTGTAACGGCTGGATTTTAGAGGAACATCTCCTTGAGATTTTCTAAGTTCAGAACCCTGTTGATTAGAATCACTGGATTCATCTAGCACTGGGGAAGAAACATTTCTGCAGGATTTTAACAAGGAAAGTAGCATGTCCAGACTCAGTTCCTGCTGAACCACACCCTTGTTCTGCTCACAGCCATAACAGGCAGCAACTAGTGTGCCAGCCAAGGTAGGCATCAACTCAGGATCACTGAAAAACACAAATGGCAAATCGCATACCTGTTTTCTTCCAGGTCAATAATTAGATTCTACACGCATTACATCTTGAGATAAAAAAAAAAAAAACCTTCTCATTACAGATTTACTGACCTTGTGAAGTATGGTAGGACTTTTTCCCCACCGAAGAACGGCTTGGTTCCCAGAGTGAAACAACGCAAAATAACCAAGAAGCAAAAGTGACTCGTGCAAAAGCAGACCAACCTGAAACACATTGCGCAAAATGTAGACAAGCAGTCACCATTATCTGCTATAAATTCTCTCAGACTACTATGGTACAATTAATATGTAGGAATGTGCTCCATCCATCCAACCCAAGGAAGACACCTTGGAACTAGTAATAGTTAAGCATCCATTGTTTGTTGAAATAACTAGGTAGCTGATGCATGAACAGCCATTTAATAAATGGAATATAATACCTAAATTTCTATCCCCATTACTGGCTGCATGCATGCCTAAGTCTAGTGTATGTTGTCCACGCATTCAAAAATAGAGGCATGCACAAATTTACCTGATCATTAGCCACCTTCCATTTGTTAGTGCAATGAGACAGAAGGAAACTCATTAAGTGGAAAAACTCCATTTTCAGGTCCGGCCTAGCCTGAGAATGATTAACGGGATAAAATAGAACAGGTCAAGGAAGCACATGAAAACTTAAAGAAACAAATCACAAATTGGTGCAGAAGCCATTTTCGGAAATCACTGCCATGTAAAAAGCAATATGACAAGCGAAATTACTTACTAGCATTCTCTGCAAAAATATAATATCCAAAAGAGCCAAATTGTTGAGAACCTTCAGTACTCCAGTTGCCACCTCCTCAAAATTGGATGGAAGCGCATATGATGCCTGAAGAAAAATAATAACTTAGTAAGTTGAGCCAATAATGACAACTTAAGAAATTTGTGATTCCTAAATAGGCAGCCCCATGACAAAAACCAGCTCATACTTTTGAAGGCACTTTCAAGTATAAAAATTTATCAAAAAACATAATTTATCAAAGATATAAGCAATATGGTGAAGCCCTAACTATCCCACAATTACGCATCCCTTTTCAATTTAAGGGTGAAAATAAAAAGCAAAAATGGGAATGAAAATAGTAAGATATATTAACCAAGAAATGAACCCATACAAATGTATTTGCACTGCTGGACAATTTATACAGGTAAAGGAACAAAGACAAATAAATGAACAACACTGTCACATGCATGACCAAATTAAAAGACAAATTTGGAAATTGACTAATCTAACACAACGAAAAAATACAGGAAGCTGACAAGAAAAATATGATACATAACTGATTTATCAAATAATGAAGATATTTGTAGCTTGTGGCAAATTTACCTGTTCAGAAGACAACCTATTGTTAGCCTGCAGTAGCACAGATGTCAACAAAGAAGGAAGGCTCACTAATCCAGTTTCAGATATGGTAGAAAGAAGAAAAGCCATTGGTTGTTTCAAGCCAAACATATTTTCTTTCTTTTGCACTGCAACAATATTCACCAAGTTCTTCTCATCCTTCTCAAATAGAATTTTCTGTGATTCATCTCGAATGTCTGTCTTTTCCATGTTAGCTTTATTAAACAGGACTGAACCACCATTCATCTTCTTTTCTTCATCTCTGCCAACAGAACATGATTCAATTTTATTTACTTTAGATGACTCATCTAACAGACCATCCTCTGGTACATCTGCAAGACGTACAATCAGGTTACCATTTTCAACAGATGACAGCGGAGTACTATCTCCACAGGCGTTATTTACGGAGACATGTCCAGAATCAAGAGACACAGTGAGTTTCATTTCTGGACTTTCATTTTCCAAAACACTTTCAATAGGAGAAGCTTCCCAGTCAATGGAACTAATAATTCCAGGGCCGGATGTTAAGACCACCAACAGAGATATACTTAAGAGAATAGAGGAAGGAAAGGGAGAGCCTTCAACCTGAGGCCTGTCATAGAGAGCAAAAAGATCTCTTAGACGGTGGATAACTTGGTATGCAACCAATAGCTCTAGCAAGCCATCACGCATTTGGAGTTGTCTTTCGTCAGAGCTGATATGACCAATAATCATAGCAACAGTCCACAAAAATCCATCCAGTACTTCAGATACAGATTCAAAATTTTCAACTGATACTTTGCTGGATGGCAAGTTGGTGCTGCTAGGGACATTCAAAGATGCAGCAATCTTTATATAGTTCTCAAGTGCTGCCGACAGCATAGGGATGATTGGGGGCAAAAGATTTTGGGCAAGAAAATAACTTCTGTTCAATGGCACAGATAGTACAACCCTCAAAAGTTTCAAAAGGTGTATTGTCACCTGGCAAGCTTCAGGCTTTGACGTATGAGAAGCGGGAAGGGCAGAAGCAATAAAATCAAGCAGACCGGCTTGGCGTGAAGCCTGTAGCTCAGGGTCCTTCCCCTCCAGGAACTGATTCACAAAGAAATTTTGGGGGCAACGAATTAGATATTTAACAACCCCAACCTCTTTATAAAAAGAAATAGTCATGTCTATTTATTTTAAAATGCATTGACATGATAACAAGCTATTGACTGATCTCCTGCCAAAAGGAGAATTTGGTTTGTATTACTTATCACCCGATAATTTCTCAATCATGCATCAACATCAGTAATGATTCAAGAACTCATGCACAACTGCAAAAGTGGTAACTGATGCCAGCCCAAAATTCTCTCCCTAGCTAAGTGAAGGATGCACCAATCACAGGACTCACCATTCTTACTGAAAGAATATTAATATTTGGAAATTTACCCTCCTAGATAGTCAATGCAATTGCCATTTACAGTATTCATACAATATGCTCCGGGGTATCCTATTGGCTTTTTTGTTTAAAAGCTAAATAATTAACAAGAAAAATAAGACAATAAAGCCATATCTCAATAACACAGGATACGAAATAGCAGCCTATCTCTTCTTAGTAAAACTATGACAATTGGAAGAATTAACAGAACTTGGAGAAGAGATAGGACAAGAATAACAAGCCTCTTGATACAAATTCGTCAAAATTAAAAATTTGATAACATGTCTAACGGTGACCCAGTGATGTAAGAACACGATTTTAGATTCTTTAGACCTAAAAAGAAAAGAAAAATAGAGCTTTATCAAATATATTCAATTTGCACAATACTTGATGCAATAGAGAGAGAGAGAGAGAGAGAGAGAGATCACAATTCCACTTCTTCTGCATCTCTGTCCTCTCTCTCCATCCTAAACCTTATCTCTAAGTATGATCATACAGTATTTATTGGTATAATGGATATGATCATACAGTATTTATCAATAATTCCTTATATAGTGGTTTAACATAAATACCTTAATCATTTCGGCAGTTATTAAACCTATACTTGCCGCTCCTTTTCTTGCTTGCCTGAGTTTCTGAAGTTCTTGAAGCCACCTCCCAATCTTCGCCCTTGCGGTTGCCACTGCTGTTCTATATCCAATACCAGCATTTTCAGAAGCAACTGGTGGCTCAGGAAATTCATATTTCAGAGCCATAAGTTTTTGCCGAATTCTTTTAATCCTCCGCTTCAGCGAATGTTGCAATGCAACATTTCCTGTTGCAAGAGAAGAACCCCCTGAACCTGTAACAACATTTGATTGACAATCGTCACCATTGTTTATTGGAGTAGATTTGCCCTGACCCTCCTTATTAATAGATCTGCGAAGTAAAGGAGAAGACTGATCCCTGAAATCCATTGACGCCCTTTCCCGTATTTGCTCCAGGTAAAACTTGCGACGTTGTTCGCTTTCACTGAGTTTCTCAGCTAATTTCTGAGCCAGAAGTTCAGCTTCCTCTTGTTGGGCCTTGGCTCTTACCTCCTTCCTCCGGAGCTGTTCAATAGCCCTTGCCTCACGTGCTGCACTGGATGCTTTCCTTTCCTCTTCCCTTCTAACTTGAGCCTCTTCCTTTTTCCGCTGTGTCTCAGCAAGACGCTGTAACTTTTCAGCTTCAATGAGTTTTCTGCGTTCTAGAACAGCTTCCTCTCTAGCAATATCCTCTTTTTGTTTAGTTCTTAACACTTGAAGTTTTTCAGCTCTCCTCAATTCTGAATC